GGATAAATCTTGTCATCATGATTCCAGGAAAACTACCTAACAGATTAACTTCAAATTTTCACACATGTTACATGGTATGAAGTTCCAGAGCTGATTAACTTTTCAGTGGCCATCTTGCATTCTGGCGGCAATTTTGGAAGGCTTATAGATAAATCTTGTAATCACGATTCCAGAAAAACCACTTCACAGTTTTACTTCGAATTTTTACACATGTTACATGGTATGAAGTTCTAGAGCTGATTAACTTTTCGGTGGCCATGTTGCATTCTGTCAGCCATCTTGGAAGTTTTTAGATAAATCTTATCATCATGATTCCAGGAAAACCACGTAACAGTTTTACTTCAAATTTTCACATATGTTACATGGTAGGAAGTTATAGAGTTGATTAACTTTCCGATAGCCATCTTGCATTCTGGCGGCCATCTTGGAAGTTTGTAGATACATCTTGTCATCACGATTCCAGAAAAACCACTTTACAGATTTGCTTCAAATTTTCACACATATTACATGGTAAGAAGTACTACAGCTGATTAACTTTTCAGTGGCCATCTTGCATTCTGGCGGCCATCTTGGAAGTTTTTAGATAAATCTTGAAATCACGATTCCAGGAAAACCACTCAACAGTTTTCCTTTAAATTTTTACACATGTTACATGGTAAGAAGTTATAGAGCTGATTAACTTTTAAGTAGCCATTTTGCATTCTAGCAGCCATCTTGAACGTTTTTAGATAAATCTTGTAACTGCGATTCCAGGAAAACCACTTAACTGATTTTCTTTAAATTTTCACACATGTTACATGGTAAGAAGTTCTACAGCTGATCAACTTATAAGTAGCCATTTTGCATTCTAGCAGCCATCTTGAACGTTTTTAGATAAATCTTGTCATTGCGATTCCAGGAAAACTACTTAGCTGATTTTCTTGAAATTTTTACACATGTTACATGGTAAGAAGTTCTAGAACTGTTACAAAACAGAGAAAACAAAGCACATGGTGAACAAGATCGGCCTAAAACATAGCAGTGTGGACTTGATGTCCCAGAAAGCAAGATGGTCGAAGAGTTAATCAGTTGAAGAACATCTTACCATGTAAAGTGTAAAAATTTGAGGACAATCTGTTAAAAAATAGCTCAGAAGACAACAGAATCGTCGATTTAATTCCTAACTTAAGTTACATAAAGGTTTGGGTTTAAAGTTCAGATCTGAACTGTTTTTTCGAAATACCGTTTATGTAACTTAAGTGAGGAATAAAATGTACTATTATGTTGTCTTCTGAACTATTTGTTCGCAAATATGCACATTTTCTGATACACGTTTGTGAGAAAAATGTCGTGGGAATTCTGCCTACAAAGTTACCGAAACAAACTGTTTAGGTAACCTGCATAATCGAGTGGATCACTAGTGATATACTTTAGTAGTCTTTAATAATGTTAGGGAGGATGAGTTGTAAGGCATACTATGTCATGTTAGATCATGATCTATACTACTTTTATTACAGTTTACCAGTTACACTTTCTCCATGCTAGGTTCTGTGATAACCTTTGTTCCTTTTCCTATGGCATCCATGCTTTATACATTTACATTCACAATGGTCGCTTCCTGGTATATCTTTTTAGGTTTTATGACTGTTAAATTCTTTACTCTAGTTAAGACCACTTTATAAACAGGTTTATCATTACCTTTATGACTGTTAAATTATATAGTCTAGTTAACACCACTTTATAAACAGGTTTATTATTACTGGTGTAACTAACACTACGAAAAAAATTAATTTATTTGATTTTATATAACATGAAATGATTTTTTCTTTTCGAAAAAACATTGCTCATTAGTAATATATTTAGTTGAAAACTTAGAGTAAACAATCAGTTTAACTTCTATCACATAGTTTATTTTGGTTCAGTAGATTTTTCTATACATTATTTTTATGTCACCACCACTAGTGATTGGGTGACATATTGTAATAGCTTCGAGCGTTTATCTTGACACTGTTCAGTAGTTAATGTGTACTGTATACTTAACAAGGTGTGGTGACATTTTGCATCTTTCTGCATCGTTACTACTATTGAAAGCTTATGTTGATATTGTAGCAGTATTTTTTAAGTTCTTTTTGTTGGTACAATTAGTTTCCAAACCCTATACTTATATCGATCTGACACACAGTTTTAGTGCAGGTTTAAGTGATTTTTGTTGATTAATAAACACAAAGAGCACACGTGTCTCGAACTCGCAACATTGTGGATACAGAGCCCATTCACATAGTTTGACATCCTGGTGCTCTCAACCAGCTCGTTAGTTAATATCTGACTAAGAGACAGCTTGCTTTCCCCATGAAGAAACGTTGTCTGCAGCTTTTATGAGTACTATAGTATCTACAACTATTTTTGATCTTATGAGTATTTGATATCATTTTTTTCAATTTTTCTTCAACATTATTTTAATGACTTCAGTATGAATGGAATGTCTCTTGGAGTTGTGGTCGTTGATGAGAAATTGGTCATTGAACGGTGTGGATACTGTTTATTCCCATATTAGATTATTGTTTTGGGATATTCAGGTTTGATTTTTGTTTGCATGTTTTACACTTTAGAGTTTGCTTTTCCCACTAGGTTGTTTTACACTTTTTTCCTTTCTCATTTTTGTTTATATTTAGTAAGGATATGATACACAGGTCTCTCTTTCTGTGTGATCACCTGTCCAGAAAATAATTCAACTACATGAAGAACTTTTCGGTGACATGATGCACAGTGAAAGATTTTCCACACATTTATATTTTCTTTTAAAAGAGCTTTAATTCCGATATATACTCAGATCAAGGCCAGTTTAGCATATATTTCGCTCTCAAAAAATCGCTGTGCAATAATGGATTTCAAAGAAATGTTTGACGTTTTCAATAATCTTTTTTCTTTTTGATGAAATGTAGTTATTTATTCTAAAAATCAATCGATGTTATACACAAAATGCATTTAAGTGGTATAAAGTACAGAAGCAGAGTAAAAGTATGTATTTTAGAATATCACCTTGTGTTACCCCATTGTAGCGCCTCTTGCCCATGTTTCTATCAATATAAAATATGATATCATTCACCAAATATGCATTTATGTCAAATTATGTGGTTTAAAATACAGAAAAATAGATAACATTGTCCTTAGAATACCACCTTGTGTAACCCACTTTACTGCATTTTGCCCCTGTTTCTATCAATATATCGATATTTTAAAGATCTTTTGATACCATAGACGAAATATGCACTTATGTGGTATAAAGTAAAGAAACATAGTGAAAGGTTGCATTCAGAATGCCACCTTGTCTAACCCCATTTTAGTGCCTTTTTCCCCTGTTTATATCAATATAAAAGGTAGCATGTAACCTTCCATGTAACATGTGTAAAAGTTTCAAGAAAATCAGTAAAGTGGTTTTCCTGGAATTACGATGACAAGATTTATCCAAAAAACTTCCAAGATGGCCGCCAGAATGCAAGATGGCCGCCGAAAGGTTAATTAGCTCTCGAACTCCTTACCATGTAATATGTGTAGAAATTTGAAGTAAATCCGTTTGGTTTTGCTGAAATCGTGATTACAAGATTTATCTTAAAACTTCCAAGATGGCTGCCAGAATGCAAAATGGCCACCGAAAAAATAATGAGGTCTAGGACTTTTTACCATGTAACAATGTGTGAACATTTGAATTACGTCTGTTATGTGTTTTTTTGTAAAATCGCGATGACAATATTTATCTAAAAAAAAATTCCAAGATGGCTGCCAGAATGCAAGATGGCCGCCGCAAAGTCAATCAGCTCTAGAACTTCTTACCATGTAACATGTGTGAAAATTTGAAGTAAATCCGTCTGATGGTTTACCTGGAATCGTGATGACAAGAAAGTGAGACTACAGAATGCCACCCTGTCTAACCCCGTTTTGGTGCCTTTTGCCCCTGTTTCTATCAATAGAAGAGGTGTTTTCTTTAAGAGGGAAGTCTGTTCTTTCAAACGGTACAATCATTTTATGTGGGAAAGTACCGGACAACGAAACCCCTCTTCTAGAGCCCTTTTGGAAATCAGATCAGGGACTATTATAATGATTTTTGAATCTTACAAGATATAACAGGACGCGATTATATTTTATTCCTTTGAAGACCTAAGGGTCAATTGATTGAAGAAATACAAATCAGTATGTATAGTTAAGATTTTAGATGAGTTGACATGTGAGCAATCGCCATGTATGTAATCTCATCAGTTTTTACATACGAAATGGGTGCCTCGGTACTCAAGTTATATTTGATTAGATTGGACACAAATGGTCTCGAAAAATACACAGATTTATGTCAAACATACTGATGCATTCGGCTTCATATTTATCTCGATTGAGCTTGATAAAGTTATACAAATCCTTTACGGAACCACCTACCTAGACTTTGATTTCTTACGTTGCGATGAACGTAAACCGGGAAACAAGTAGGACAATTTGACGTCACGTCCTGAGAAAAGCCTGCGAGCACTTTCCCGCGGCTTACGTTGTAAAAAGAAGTGTTGCTTAACCTCTCTATTAATTTGGAATTCCACGTCTTAACTAGGAATGACGTCATTACTTCACTGTTGCATTCAATAATGTAGGCCTACACGACCTGACTTGGACGTGACGTTGATTGTGTTTATCTTACTATGTAAATGATACGTTCAATTGACTCAGTATGTGACAATTAGGCTCTTGTGTAAAATGAACAACACTATACTTACTGTGTGCAGCTGAATCACATAGTTTCCGAAATATTCCATTAGCCTTGATCTTTCTAAATCCTTCATCCCAAAGAGCAAAACCATATTACAAGTTGAAAGGTATATTATATAAGTATATATTTTTCTTAGTTAATGCTTCAGTATGCAGAAATTAACCGCATCAGTATTGAGAATAGAACCCCTCAACTACTTTTTAACACCAGTTAATTTTGCCCCACTTTTGACTTTATCACGTGTATTACTAGAATGGTAGTTTATATCATTAAAAGGGCTTCAAAAATACTATTTACCATTCGATTGGTCTGTAAAATCAGTTCGTTAATTTTTAGACGACCATATCGCTAAACCTATCCAAAATATAATATTATTGTTTACCGAGGAAAGGACTGTCTTTTCTGGCCATTACTGCATTTCCACCAAGCTTACACAAAATATCACCGCCCGATTTCTTCACCTTCTTTTCAGTAATGGCTTGTTTCATATTCTCTTCACCTGAGAAACCCGCGGCTACCTTTATTAGGGTGAAGAATCATGATTTTACAAGGTATTTTAAAATTGTATTATATACAGCGAGAACTATCACACATTTCGTTATCTAAGGTGTGACATAGCCGTCTATAATAAATGGTTGGTATTTAAGATCATGTGTTATGGTGGGTTTGTTTTCATACGTAAATTAATCTAAGCCATGGTCTTAGCAGCATAAACTGGGTAACATGAAGGCATACCTCGCCTCTGACGATCTTATCGATTAGTTCTCCAGGGCCATTTACGTGAAGAACATTATCAGGCTGTACGTACGCCCCTATGATTTTGTCGCTTTGTCTAACTAGACATTTTTCATCAGAAGAATAGCCATCCAGAAATCCTATGAAACGGAATTTCAAAATATGAAAAGACGTTAAAATGCTACAAGATTTAAGTTTGCAGCTGATTGAGAAAATAAAACAATTAACTTACCTATTTTCTTCCCCGTAATGTTTGTCGGATCGAACATGGTATCGTCAAATTTTATGTAAAATTGAGCCGGGATGAGCTTGCGATAAGACTGTGAGAAAGAGAAAACGTGGGTTCTTCCAACGGTTGGAGACCAATTCATACACGCATCGTACCATCTGTCAAGTAGACCTGCGTAAACGTGAAAGAAAAGGATTGCATTGAAATGATCGAAGAACTAAACTAATGGTTTTTAAATAGGCCTTTCCAATAAACTACAAGCTATGTCACCATCTGATTTAATTGATCAGCTTTGTTCTCAAATTAGAGGATTACACCTGATCTGGAGATTTTTGAATCTTATTCTGAACGTTGAACTTCTCCCTTGTTTGAAAAGTTCTTACCTTGTCCTCCCATGGAGTGCTCTCCCGGTTCTGAATCCCAACAATTGGTATATTTGTCTCATATTGTCCTACAATCCATATCATCTGCCTCACATACTGCAATTGAAAGGAGTCACGATGTGTCATTGAATGTAAATTGGCGCAGCAATTGCATCACCTAAGATCTTGTTTGGCTGCGCTCAGGGTAATCTACTATTTGATACACAAATGAACATTAGACATCCACATTAATCATGTTGAACAAGCTCAAAACCTTCTTGACTGGTACAAAAATGCGTCTTTGACCGGTTTATTTGGTTCATTGGAAATATAAACAACATTTGTGCAAGGAGTTTTTTACCCATTCTAGTTCCCTTACCTGTTTGAGGAAGGTCATAGGAAAAGCCTTTTAGATAGCCTTCACTGTCTCTGAAGATAAATATGAAAATATGTCATGATTGAATTATGACCCTAATAAGTGGTCCATTCATCAATACAGTGCTGAATATAGGTCAACAAGATACTAGTGTGCATATAAATGTAATAATAAAAGCAGTAAACTGATTTTGAAAAATCAGATGAACAACTTTTTTCATGGGGAGATCATAATAGAGAACGCACTACTTCCTTTAACATGGAAAAGTTGAAACGTTTCTGAAAATAACAGGCGATTTTGTGAAAACAACCGGTGAGAATGGCCTGTTGCCTCCTGCTAATGAAACCCCTGCTGTATATGCTTTCCTTACAAAGAATTACTTTAAATCTTGAATATTATTGTTATATTAATATAATACATGTGGAAGATTGTGACAGTGTATTGTACACACAAAAGAAACTGGGTTTGTAATAATACAAGCTAAATAGATATTTTCATAGGTATTTAGATGGTAAAGTGATTGTAAATCAGATTCAAGAAAATAGGAATTGCCATAGGCCAAGGAAAAGTAGTATTAGCTCAATTAAGAAAGTCACATCTTTATTAAGCTCACTAGTACTTTTAAATGTACAGTTAAACTTGTTATAGTGAACACTTCTCTCTAGTGAACACCTATGTCTAGTGAACATCTCTTCTCAGCACATACTCCACTGAGTTCTGTATAAAATTGCTTATGGAGCCACAAAAAAGTGTTCACTATAGGTAAGTGTTCACGGTCATGTACTCAGGTTTTACTGTATATGAAATGGATACTTTAAGCACTATTTACATATTAAAAAAATATTTAATTGGAAATAAACGTTAAATTGTCACTGCTCACTACAAATCTGGATGGTGTTTCATTTTTTTGGAATGTGTCTGTTATTCTTCTCAGTGTGCACATGTTGCTAAAGTACTCTTTCCAATAGCATGCAGCATCAGGGCAGGCCCGTAGCCAGGGGATCGGGGCTGGGGTTGAGTCAAATTCTCTTTCAAAATCAAGCAGTCTTTAAGTGACTTTTGGCTAAATTTGACAAATATTAACCCCCTGGAAATTTTTGAAGAGTGAACCCCCATTGGCAAAACCTAGCCACAGGCCTGTCCGGGTAAATCTCGATTGGCTGAAGATTTCATGCCCATGCCAGGATTATGATATTCTGTACAATATTGTTCTCAATTGTAATTAGAATTGTCACGTTCGCATGCAGTATTGTGAATCCTACTTCATGCTTGGCACACAGTCAACCGTCCCTTTGCTACCTGAAAACGAAATTTTATATCCACTGATAAGTCTGGGAACATGGATCTTATAGTTAAGGTCATAATGAAATAACATTCCACAAACTCATCAGTAATTATGTCACCACCAGAACTATTGACATTTTGTGACTGTCTCCAACCTTTTTGTCAACGGTGTTAGGTGGTTGGTCGTATTTTTTGATGTTTATACCTTGATACTATATAATTTTGTCCTTTGAAATGATACACACACAATATTTTAAAAAGTGTTATCAGCGTAGTATTTCATGGAATATATTTCATTAAATAAATTCAGATCCCTCATGTGTAATTAGGCCATTTATTAATTTAGGCCATTGTGCACAAAGTAGCCATGGATTTACAATTTAACGCAACAAAAAAATAATTTTTCAAAATTGAAATGTGAAGATTGTGTCACAGAGTAGGAAAATGTCTTTGGCTTAAAATCTTCCTGGACTATCCAAATTTGCCTGCTATTGAATGCAACTAAGAGAGTCCAAGTGGCACATGATAACAAATTATCCTTCTCACAATACTCACTGTGCTTATCCGAATCGCAAAGCTTATCAAATTCTCCATTTGCCTTGATTTTTCTGAATCCTTCATTCCACAGGGCTAAAATTATAAAATAAGGAAAAACATTGTCATTTGAATATGTGACCTAAACCCATGCTGAATTACTGAGTTATTAACATTTGTTTGAGTTATCCTTTTTATCTCACCCTGTATGTGTTTCATACACTGAAAGGAATACACTACGAGAATAATTTGAGTCTATGTTCCATTCTGATACTCGTAGCATCTTTCTGTTTCACCTGAAACATTATCTCAGGGCTGAGAAGATTTGAGATGTCATGGTTGATCATGATGCTATGTTCAATAATCAAGAAGTTTTCACTCTTAATTAGTTAATTAATTTAATTACCAATGAAAGAACTGTCTTTTCTGGCCATTACTGCAACTCCTCCGAGCATACAACTAATGTCACCACCAGATTTCTTCACTATACCGTCTTTAACAGCTGTCTTCATATTCTCCTCTCCCGTGAACACTGCATCTACCTGTGATATAGGCTATCATATTAATAAAGCATGCATCATTGGCTCATAGCCAGGGATGATTTGGGGGTTGAGTGGCCAATCATTTTTTTAAAGCATGCAGTTGTCACCATTCTGAGCACTTTTCAAGTGATTTTAGCTATTTTTGAACAATTTATTTAAGTTGTCATAAGTGAACCCTCTTGGAATTTTTAGAAAGTGAACTTCCCTTTGAAAAAGCTGGCTACAGGCCTATTATCATCATATATTATTATAAGAGTTACTCATTGTTAAAGTAATCTTGGTAATCATATATTTTTGTCTTGCATTCCAAAACATTTCATACTTACCTAATTTAAACTAGTGTACATTGTATGATCATTCTGAAATTAATCTTTTGTTAGCTGTTAATGCTACATGTTATCAGCTGATCAGAAAAAGCCAATCTATAAATATTGCTTTCCCCTTCCTATTAAATAATCAAGAATTCAACAGCTGACCACAGTTAGAGCCTACTGTACCCCCCATAAGTTTTACAATCGGCAGTCATCATTTGGATAGCGTTATTAAAGCCCGTTTGTGTGTGAATCTTAATTTCGATCCCGAATAATACAATATGTGGGCAAATTATGATAACCATGATGAAATTCTTGAAATCACCAACCACCTCGCTCTAACAATGTCCAAAAAGCGACTTGCGCGCCACATTTTTGAAAGAGAATTGTATTGTTGGTTTACCTTGCCGTTGGTTATCATTGGGATGAGTTCAGTTGGACTGCTAACATGAACAATGTTAGCACGATCTAAAGTCGACCCTGTGATGGATTTTTGTTTGGCAACGCATTTCTCATCGTACGCCCATCCATCAATGAAACCTACAGTGAAATCAATGTATGTTGCTCAAACATGACACACAACACTCGCGATTACCATAGAGAGCAGACGTTCGAAGGCATGGTATGGTTACCGATGCTGTAAGGTTTGAATATACCCGCACTGTACTCATCTATCATTGTTTTCTTTATCTTCTGTGAGTGTGTTCTAAATACCGACTAAAAGTACTAAAATGTCCAATATCATTCAAAATATCGATTTCTGCTGGGATGAAGATCTTTGATATCAAGAAAATACAAGGGATGTACGTGCAACACAACGACCAGTGGGGCAAAATACGTTCCGCATCCGACCTCCCCAATTATTGTTCGTAACAAAACAATTATTGAGTTGACGGCCGACAACTGAGAAAGCAATCAGTATGAGCCGCTACTGGGTTCCAGAGTACCTTTTTAAAATTACTCAATTGACGTGAAATTTGAAATCAACGTACCTATTTTCTTCCCAGTAATGTCACTTGGATTGAAAGTGACATCATCATTCTTCACATAAAACTGTGCCATGGTCGGTTTGCCATAGGATTGGGCAAATGAGAAAACGTGTGTTCTTCCAATGGTTGGAACCCAGCCCATACATGCATCGTACCATCCGTCTAGCAGACCTAAAGTAATCAAAACACGTTCGTTTCATCGACAGGTCGATTTTATTTTATGTCGGATTGTAATACCCTGATGGGACAAACACTACTAGGGCGTGAAAACTTGTTGCAAGCAAGCTTTTCACCACAAGGCAGGGCATGGCCAATGTTCGCATACAATCATAATGTTAATTGTTGAGTTGTAAAATTGTGCCATTTTTGAAAATTATTCATATTACATTCCTTTCTACTTTATTTGATTTATTTAATAAGGCGGTGGTCATCTGATTATATTATATTTTAAAATATAAAATCACTTTACGTTATATAAGTGTACCTGTATATCTAAAACATTCAAACAAAATGCCATGATTAAACATTCGACATAAGTTAAGGAGATATGTCAGGAACTTATTTTTCTGTTAGTAATCCGATATTTAACTTTTTAGCTAATCCCTCGATAAAAGATCGAACCTTGTCCTCCCATCGAATGCTCCCCTGCTTCAGAGTTCATGCAGTTGCTATACTTGTCCCATACGGTCCTACAGTCCATGTCGGCCGCATCGCACACTGGAGTACAAAATGAATGTGTGAATTGTGTATCATATGTGCAGAAGAGAACGTTTAATTGGGTAATTTACGTTACATAATTGAACGTGTCGTTATTTAATATGATTCGAATTTTGTGAACTAAGAGGAAGTCAAACTAAGGCAAAACAGCACTGGCGGATTGTGTCTACCACCAGCTTCAATTTCTAGTTTGTGATCGCTAAGACGTAGTTTAGTAAATTGAGTTCGGTTGGCTAGTCTTTTTTCATGAATGAGATATTCTAAAATCTTAAAAATTCAGGTCGTGTTTAAATCTAGTGTACATTCATATTTAAAACTTTTTCAAACTGGACAAAACTAATTCCAATAATCAAAATCAAATCTCCAACACTCGGATTATTAATTTTATAATACGGTAATTACATCCAGTCTGAGAAAGATGAACTGGACCATTTATGAGAAAAATAAATTGTCTCGATCTTACCAGCTTTTATAAGGTCAAAGTTAAAGCCTTGTAGGTATCCTTCGTCATCTCTGAAAAACAAAATGATTTAAAGTAATTCAATATTATGAGAAGTAGCTATTTATTATCTAGTAGTAAAGCTACGTTCACACCAACGGCGAATGCCACGCTTTAAATCGGCGAGCAAAGCGGCACCAAAGCATGGCGCTTTAAAGGGACTTGTAAAGCGGCACCAAAGCGTAACAAAGCTTGATTAAAGCGTCGGGGTCGTAGTAGGTCGTAGAAAAGCTCGAAGTAAAGCGGGATGTTCGGCAAGAGCGCCAAAATTTTTTAAACTGTTTAAACATTTTGGGCGCTCCGTTAAGAATTGATTAAAGCGCCGAGAGCGTATCAAAGCTTTTCAAACCTTTACAAACTGAAAGCTCAGCAAAGCTTGACCCAAAGCGTAGGAAATCTCAACAGAGCTTGGTTCAATGCGGGGACCCCAGTCTCTTCACGGTCTGTTAGCGCTTGACACGCTTGACACGCTTCGTTTAGATGTATCAAGCTTTGCTACGATTTGGCATGAAGATCTGACACGAGGTCAGACGCTTTCATCAATATCTGACACTCTTTGTTACGCTTTCATGAAGGACTCTCAAGCTTTTTAACGAATTGAGACGCTTTAATCAAGGATTGAAACGCTTTATTAAGCTTTGTTACGCTTGACAAGCTTCCTCACTCTTTCTCAAGCTCTTACACGCCGTGCGACAAACATCATGTCTTCTTCAGACAGGTCATGATCTGGTCCATCTGGAACTTCAGGATTTTATTGTTCTGCCATCGTCTTCTGGAGTCACAGATGCAATGGTTTTATGGATCTACTGCATCTTTATACGGCCATTTGATCAAAAGTGTCATGATAAAGGCGATCTCGAAAATGCACAACAGAGCTTGGCAATCGTATCAGAGTCTGATTAAAGCGTTATAATCGCACCAAAGCGTAATAATGCTTTCCAAAGCTTATCAAAGCGTGATTTTAAGCGTAACAAAGCCTGGTCGAAGTGGGATCATAGCGTGAGGAACCGTAACAAATCGGGAAATCAGAGCGTATCAGAGCTTATTAGAGTGTAACATTACTAAAGGTACGTTCACACCAACGGCGAATGCCACGCTTTAAATCGGCGAGCAAAGCGCCGTCATTTTTGTCATTTTTCTTCATACCAACGGCGCTTTGATGGCGCTTTAAAGCGGCTTGTAAAGCGGCACCAAAGCGTAACAAAGTTTGATTAAAGCGTCGGGGTCGTAATAGGTCGTAGAAAAGCTCAGAGTAAAACGGGATATTCGGCAAGAGCGCCAAAAAATTTTAAACTCTTAAAAAATTTTGGGCGCTCTGTTACGAATCGATTAAGCGCCGAGAGCGTATCAAAGCTTAACAAACCGTAACAAAGCTCAGAAAAACTTGATCCACAGCGTAGGAAAGCTTAACATAGCTCTAAAAGGTTCCTCACGCTTTGATCCCGCTTTGATCAGGCTTTGTTACGCTTGAAATCACGCTTTGAAAAGCTTTGATAAGCACTATTACGCTTTGATGCGATTATGACGCTTTAAATCAGGCTCTGATACGATTGCAAAACTCTGTTGTGCATTGTTACGCTCTGTTAAGCTCTGTCACGCATTGGAAAATGTCGAGATCTCCGATTCCATGCCGCTTTTGATCCAATGACTATATAAAGATGCAGTAGATCCATAAAACCATTGCATCTTTGACTCGAGAACACGATGGCAGAACAACGAGATCCAGAAATTCCAGATGAACCAGAGCATGACCTATCTGAAGAAGACATGACGTTTGTCGCACGGCGTGATATAGCGTGTGAAAACTTTCAAGCGTAACAAAGCCTAGCAAAGCGTTTCAATCCTTGATTAAAGCGTCTCAATTCGTTGGAAAGCTTGAGAGTCCCTCAGGAAAGTGTAACAAAGAGTGTCAGATATTGATGAAAGCGTCTGACCTCGTGTCAGATCTTCATGCCAGATCGTAGCAAATCTTGAGACATCTTAACGAAGCGTGTCAAGTGGTAACAGACCGTGAATAGACTGGGGTCCCCGCTTTGAACCAAGCTGTGTTAAGCTTTCCTACGCTTTGAGTCAAGCTTTGTTGAGCTTTGTTACGGTTTGTTAAGCTTTGATACGCTCTCGGCGCTTCAATCAATTCGTAACAGAGCGCCCAAAATTTTTAAACTGTTTAACATTTTTTGGCGCTCTTGCCGAATATCCCGCTTTACTCCGAACTTTTCTACGACCTATTACGATCCCGACGCTTTAATCAAGCTTTGTTACGCTTTGGTGCCGCTTTACAATCCGCTTTAAAGCGCCATCAAAGCGCCGTTGGTGCGAACGCTTAAACAGTTTAAATTTTTTAGCGCTCTTGCCGAATATCCCGCTTTACTCCCGAGCTTTTCTACGACCTATTACGACCCCGACGCTTTAATTAAGCTTTGTTACGCTTTGGTGCCGCTTTACAAGCCGCTTTAAAGCGCCATCAAAGCGCCGTTGGTGTGAACGTACCATTAGGAGATCGTGATATTTTGGAAATTAAACATAAATGACAGCGCTTTGCTCGCCGATTTAAAGTGTGGCATTCGCCGTTGGTGTGAAAGTAGCTTTAAAAATGTTTGGCGCTCTTGCCGAATATCCCGCTTTACTCCGAGCTTTTCTACGACCTATTACGACCCCGACGCTTTAATCAAGCTTTGTTACGCTTTGGTGCCCTTTAGAAGCCGCTTTAAAGCGCCATCAAAGCGCCGTTGGTGTGAACATAGTTTAACCAAAATCCAAGATAATCCAAAACTAAACTCCCCTCCATAAGCCTGGCAACTCCCTCATCGAAAAATGATTCAAATATAAATAGGCTTGAGCACGTAATTCAATGAGGGAGTTAGGGTTGCCAAACTTATGGAGGGGAGTGTAATGTCTTTTAAAAGAACAATAAATGTTATTACTTTGAACATTTAGTATTGTTCTCCTGATCTAAAGCAAATTGCTTGAATAGTTGAAAGATGGGGGCACAATTGGAGTACCTTAACTTACATATACTCGAATGCTCCATAGTCATGGCCGATTTCAATACTCCAGATCCTTTTGCCACTTTGAGAGACCTTCGCCGCTGACCCATCACCACTTCCAGCCGGCTAGCAATGTTAAATTGAGATAATAGCATATTTTAAATACTATGTTATGATACGTGTACAATTTAGTACATGGTTGCTATTGTACTTAATAGTGTTTCGGTTGTTGTACGTTAGATATTCTTGCGATTTCTGCTTTACTAGGTATCATGTAAAAACGACATACGTTTACAAACGAAAATAATGGCCGCTCAAGCTAGCAATCAGATAGCAAAACATATGTTTACTCTAGTAAAGCTTTCTAAATTATATTTCCAATAATAATTATCATACGTAGTCAATCTGGCCAAGGACGTATATTTGACCTAAGAGATGGATAAAGTTGTGAATACTATACTACCCGACCCCGTCATACCTGGACTGTCACGGAGGTTCCAGTGGGTCTGCCCAACGCAACAGCTGCCAAGATTAACCCTATGATTGCTACTACTCCAAGTACCGCAATCAAAATAAGCAACAGTCGGGAGTTGACTAAAATATACAATGAACATAAATGTATGTAGAAATTAATGTAAAATTGATTCCTACAAAGTCCCCTTTGTGTCTTTCTATTCATTTGAAATGGATATTTTTCTTTAGTAAGTTGTTTCTCAAACCATTTGTTTTTATTTATCGGAAATAACCTTTTTCAATTCTTCCAAATACTCCAGGCCTGGAATGAGATAGGCCTACTGACATGGGCCGGCTACAAATGTCATTAGTTTACCCTACATGTCTTTAGCTTACCATACATGAGAAAGATGGAAAAATAATATGCACGATATATGAAATATGTTTTTTGTTATTTTATCACTCAATAATCATAACCTATGTCATATCTCAGTCTAGCGTTTTAATAAATGCACTTGAGCTGAGGCCAAGGAATGAAGTCATAAAATGTTTTAAAATAGCGTTTTCTACATTATGTTATATCAATTATTCGTCTTTTTCATCCTTACTCATGTAAGTTTGTGCAAATGCAGTTGAAAATTGACATTACATGGCACTTTTAAAATCATTTTATAACCAATATGTATTCATGGGCTCAGTACTATAGAAAACTATTCATTTTTAGCATATCTTGTTTGAATTTTATGACATTGTAAGTGTTTAACAGAGATTTTAATATGGTGTATAGATTGTGTTTAAACAGACACTTAAAAGTTTCGCTAATTTCCTACTTACCCTGTCCCCCGTTATTGCCCCCTGCCAGATTGACCGTGCTTCCGGTTGCACCCTCTGCTCCATTCATCGTGATAGTAATCTTACGGATATCTTAAAATCCTAATATAAAAAAATGAAGCTGTTGTAGTCTCCAATTCTTAGTTATAAAACTTGAAATATTTAACCGTGACCCTCGATGTTATTGATGTCGTCCTGACATACATTTTATAGCCTATTAATAGATGCAATAAAAATAAAGTTCTATACGTAACAGGATCTTAAGAGGTTCTGGACAAATCATTTGATTCTGGACTTGTCATATTTTTTTTTCAACGAAATCACATCCAAGGGGTGAATTTTTATTAGCTATTTAGAGAGCGAGTCCTGCCTAGTATTAATTTCAATAAAAAAGTTAAAATAGAACCCTATTTGAGAGTCAATCTAATACTTACATTACATTGATAAATTAAGGCAAATCCTGAAATATTTTTAAAGTGCGTTTTTTAATGAAATATTATCCAGCAAGTATTTAAATGAAACGGTCTTATTTAAATACAAATCATAACATGATATTTTTCATGAAACATTTTTCAATGAAATTCAATTGAAGGGTCAAGATAAAACGAGCTAATTTAGGTGAAAACCCTTACATGATGATGTGTTTTCATAACTTCTTTCATAAAATTCCATCAAGGGGTGAAGATAAAATGATCGAATTTAAGTGATTTAAGGATCACGAGAATATGTTTTCTATGATATTTTCTATGAAATCCCATCCAATGGTCAAGGTAAAATTTTGATTTTGATTTTGATTTGGTCACGTGTTCGAAAGATCCATATAAGGCCCATAGAACCATATAGGAACGTCATTTTGAATGTCACGTGATAGATCCATATAAGGCTTTTAGAACCATTTATGGAAAGATGAGGGAAGCCCCTGACACCTGTTTCACGATTTTTATGCACTTCATTATTGTACCGAAGTTTGCCGATTCGATTCGTCGTATTTCGGAATCCTGGTGACAATTTTATACTCCATTGGAGTATTTTTGACCTACTTCTTATGACGGAAATTCCCGAACCTTGTTCGGATTAATCCGGATTTTCTGACCTACCTTATCTACCGAGATTTCACGAGTTAACATTCGTCTCATTCCGGAATCCTGGTGACAATTTTATACTCCATTGGAGTATTTTTGATCTACTTTTTCTGGATTTTGCCCTACTTATTATATCTTGACAACAAGCAAATCAAAAAGTTCGACATGAACGGGTCTCGATCAACTAACCTAGACTATGGAAGCCAGGCACGCTAACCATTAGGCCAACGAGCTACGGATATGAAAGAACAAAAGTATTATATATTTATACCGAGCGTCAATTCAAAATGATCCTCACTTTTGTCTCCACTTAAATACGACTCGTCAGTTGTATCCAGAATAGTAGAACGCCTATGGCGCTAGTGAATAACCAAGTCCCAGGTGAGTGGTTCGTATCCCTCCGTGATATACTATTTTTGTTTTATTAAATACGACAGAAAGGAGCAAGGTGTAGGTTGAAAACAAGACGTTAGTTTGTTTCAAAACAGTTTGGAAACATTAATCTCTGATAATTTAAGGGTTTCCACTCCTGAAGGGCCTCTAGATCTATGAAATTCAATAATCCACTCAGTAAAAATACGATTTCTCTGCAACCTGATGTCCAATCAAGATCATTCAAATATATATGTGTTCCTGACACGTTTGGGCGTCCGGGAATAAAATTGCTTGTGAAAACTATTTACAAAAGTGTTCCAGAGACCCTTATCTACTTGGCTAAGGTTTTATTTGAAGATACATTGCCTTATTAGCAGGTAGAGGGGCATACAGAACACAGAAGCAAATGCTATGTTGAAAATTTTCTATATTTCAATTTGAACCTGTGTTTACATGTCACGTAGGCCAGTGTTTTATATGGGGATTATATGTACTTTCCTTGTTTACATGAACGTAAATCATTACATGAAATCTGCATTCTTCTGGGTTTAATCTGGGTTTGTATTGTCTTATTGGAGCTTTTCGACTTTAAAACAAACCCTACCTAAATGGATTGTGTCTCGGGAACGTTTTTGTAAATAGTTATTATAAACAATTCTGAAAGAATATCACATATTTTTGTCTTCCCGATTTCAGTCATGAATTACGTCAATTTCTCGTGCAAACATTGGGTAGACGTTGTCATAACCGGATGCCCGAACGTGTCAGGAACATATAGATACTCGAATGATGTTGATTGAACATCAGGGTTGAGAGAAATCGTAATTTTACTGAGTGGCTTCACGAAAAAATAAGCAGCACTTTAGGCCACCTAAATACAACTCGTCAGTTGTATCCAGTTTGAATCCCAGCGTAATGTTTTTAATTATATGGTTGTGCTTTGATTTTACGCTGAAAACATTTATAACTACGTCAACTTTATATTAAAACATTTATTATCTTTTCAGTTGTATTAAAATGTAAAATATGATATATGTCAGCTTATTGCTTTCTGGAGAACAGTCAAGGTTTAAATTTGGTTACAATGAATCGGACACTCATGTAAATCGACATGGTTATAACATTGAACTCAATGCAGTAAATTAGTTATTTCTATGAATCACAGCGGGATTGGTTTCATTTTATATGATTGCCAACTCTGGCGGTTTTTTGTAAATGCTTTTGACCGCTGTAAATGTAAAACTGATACAGTATTATTCAATTGTTTTATGTCTTGGTCACATTTGCTCCGATTTTCACTACGGCGCCCGGCCGATTGAGTATTGTGTTCAGAAATGTATTTAATTTTGAACAAAATACTCGCAGCAAATGTGATCCAGGCATTACACAGCGGTATTTCGAACATACTATTGTTGCTTAACCACGACCTAGCCAATTTTAAAATCATACTCCTTATTTAAATCCAAGTAAACGATCAATGTCTAGGTATTTGGCGTTTGATGATACTATGGCCCTTGGCGAATTATGATAAGATGAACCGAGGTCAACATTAATGTTTCTTGTACAAGGTCATCCCAAGGTCTAAGATAAATATTTAGGTATTTTACGTTTCAAGACCTTTGGACAAATTCGATTCAACGATGTATCAAAGTTAAAATGTATACAGAGATAAAATAGGTTATCTCCTATCGTTTCCTTGTGTATACGTTTATGTCTCTGCGTAATAACGCAGATGCGAGCAGGTAGTTACCAATCTCACCACAAGGTGGCTCGTTCGGGTCAGATAGCATGGCGGGTATGGTAGAAAGTTCCCTTTAACTTAAAGTACATCTGTTTTCGTGGTTCAATTTTCATATCACCCTTAAATGTATCTAATAGCAATGCAATTAAAATATGTCCAGTGAACGAAAATGCAATACAAGAATAGATATTTCACTTTTTGTGATTTTGTAACAATGGGGTTATTTTTTGTATATGTAACATGGTCATTTTCACATTTTATATTATTACTGTTCATATTAATCAATCCCTATTCATCTCAATATAACAGGTCCCTAAGGTCCCTTAGGTTGTTTGCAGTTTTACTCTTTTAATACCATGTTCACTTTTCACCTTGAGTTATTCAACTATGCAAACTGTGTCAGTGTTATATATCTATTGTTCCCCTATATGGTCTTTCTCACTCACATGTAGCTGAGTTTGCATTGGGTGTTGGCTTGTCAGTAGTTGCTGTAAGAGTTCATGTTGTACATTACAGAGCATTGTATTTTAAACATTGAAGTTTGAAATATACTATTTTATATATATTTTAATTTGAAGTTCGAGTTATTTTATTGCCACCCACGGGCCTTTCACACACCCATTTACATATAACGCTTTGAAACAACTTTAAAAAGTGAGCAATGTCAGTGTTGTGATAATAGAGAATTTTCGTTATAAGTTGTTTCAAAAACTTATACGTATACTTATAGTTTAAAGGGTCTTGTCGAACTAAAATCAATTCAAATTGATTTTCATAATCTGTACCAAGTGGGGCATAACTATTCCCGATATAGTCAAGTTTCATCATCAACTAGGGACTGCGAATACAATGTCCTTTGCTAGTGTCAATTATGAACACAATAAACTAAATTCTAGTTGACGGGTCCTTGTAGTGTACGATAAACAAGACCCTTTAAGGACAGGGTGCATGTTTGGAAATTTTCTGCATTCCTCAATTGAGTCACATGTTATTTTTCAAACAAAAATCACTCCTTCCCCACATTGTCTACATCTTCCAGGTTTGCACAAAGAGTGCACTTATGTGCCTAGAAAAGCCTTGTGAGAAGATTTGTTTTGTAAAATGTATACAAAACGAGAAAATTCAGATAAAAAAATTTCTGAAAATTTTCTGAATTTTTTCACTGAATTTTCTTGTTTTTTATACACTTCATCAAAACATTCTTCTCACAAGTCTTTTCTAGGCACATAAGAGCACTCTTTGTGCAAACCTGGAAGATATAGACCCTCTGGGGAAGGAGTGATTCTTGTTTGAAAAATAACATGTGACTCAATTGAGGAATGCAGAAAATTTCCCATCATGCACCCTGACCTTAAAGTGAATCACTACACGAACGAGTCGATCATTTCAAAGTTCTCATGAAATTATAAGGTCAATTTTTAAGTTTTTACGTATAAAAGGGCCTTTATACGCAGATTATAAACTTACAGAGTTGGATCTCCGCATAGTATATGTGTGGACCTACTGACCAGAATGGCTTATTAAAATTAATCGGCTGAATAGGCATAGTATCCAATCAAATAGCTCGACTCATTCATTAGCTGAACTAATTCTCCCTTCGTTATTTCTACAAGGTGATTCAAAACGATCATCTACAAAAAATATATTTGAGAGCAGATAAATCTGTAAAACCCGTGTGCTATATCAGCCTATTTGATTCTAGAAAACACATATGACACAACTAAACATGCTTTACATCAAGGGGGTACGGATGGTATGCCATTGGCCCTTTTTATAACCGTCCTAGGAGATATTTCCCGACGAATTAGGAAATTATGAAACACCTTGTTTATTGGGTTTATAAGTATAAGTATACGTATAAGTTTTTAAAAAACTTATAACGAAAATTCTCTAATAACGCCCCTCATACCTATTTATTACAGGTCGTGTAGACCATTGTTGCCTGATTTATAGCTAAAACATTGACTTTTGAACGTTGATGATGATGATGATGATGATGATGA